GGCTTTGCTGGTGCTGCTTGTCACCAGGGGAAGTAGAGAAGTCCCAGAGCTGCTGGCCTGAAAGGACAGGAAGGTGAGTGGGGAACAGATGCTGCACAGACAACAAACAACAGATCTCACTGTGTTACATCTCTGAGAGGTACAAACCTGTCACACTCCATTAAGTGACTTATCAGAGGAAGTAGAAATCCCAAATTCCACAGCACACTTGACCTTCAGCTTGAAACAGAGGTTCCCACACAAAAGCAAGGTCCCAGCACAACCAGTCAGCTGGATCTCAGAGCAGCTCAGGGGGCTCCATGCCCCAGATCTCACAGGGCCCAGCACCAAAGCCTGGCTCCACAGAGCCTTCCTCCAAAGCACAGCTCCTCTAAGCTGCTGTAGTGCCATTAAAAGGAAATTAAGCCTTAGCAAAGCACACCTATGGGAGTCACAACCATCCGCTCCTCGGCTGCCTCACCACCAGCTGAGCAAAGACCCCAACGTGGCAAAAACCCTCAGGAAAAGAAAGGTTTCACAAAAATGTAAAATGCTGATTTTAAATGAGGCAAGCCCTGTGCCTCCGGTGTTAATGCACAAGTAATGGAGGAAGGTAAGCATCTCTGAGATAGCTTTCTTTCAGGAAACTCACAAACTGTTTTTTGTTTGTTTGTTTTTTAACCTGCCAACGGTAGAACTGAGAAAGTTTCTATCAGATGCAAAAAGCACCTGGTATAGGAGGGTGATTGGAATTCATTTGGACTAGCAGAAATCACAAGAGTGTCAAATTATAGGCTGTGATGAGAGAAAGGCAAAATTTTCCAGGCAGTTTTGAAATAAAGAAAGCGGTCAGAAGCCATAGCTGACAAAAAAAAAAAAAAAAAAAAAGCTGTAATTTCATGCAAATTTAATGAGCATATTCTCCAGACTACTTTATACCAGATCCTGAATTATGCGAACTGTGCATCATTCAACCTACAATTCTGCCTTGGGCTACACAGCTCCGTTCTCATATGAAGGCGAATACACAGGAATGGAAACCAAGGAAACTCACTTCTGTGGAAGGCCAGAAGCCAAGAGATGAGATGTCCATTACAGGGGAGAGAGGGGGGGAAAACAACATCTGGCATTTAAGAAAGAAGCCAGAAATCACAGGTCAACCTCATATTTGACAAGGGGCAATTGGTGCTTTCATATCGAAGTACCGCATCCCAGCTCTGAGAGCTGCAGCCCAGGGAACACAGACAAGCACACTCCAACCACTGCTCAGGTGCTGTGCAGGGCAGCACCAGGGATGAACTGCACCCTCCTCCTCTCTGTCCTCTGCACAGTATCACAGCAGAGAACTCGAGTTCTGCAAGTGCTGATAAATGGATGTGGACTGGGACTTATGCAACAGTCGCTTCTGCTCATGAAGATCCACGCTAGCTGCCCACCTCCACAAAGCGTCTCGCTGCAGCAGCACTCCCAATTCAGTTTGTTTTTCCTATTTGCAAACAAACACTGTTGACTTTTAACTAAGGAAAGTTCCTTCCTATTAAATGGTGTAACTTGCAATGTTGCCAAAATTAAAGCTGTAAACAAACAACGTGGAAAACACTCATTTCTCACTGCCAGTACCAGCAAACTGTTCCTGCGAGCCATTCGCTGCTATGCTGCACCTGACACAGGCAGCATTCTGCAAAGGGTAACAGAAGAAAACCAGAAGCAGAGAAGTACCATCCCAGTGTGATCAATTTCTTATCTAAACACTGAGCACATAAATCTCCAAAAGAAACTCCACAAGTACTTTATTGCAGGCAATTAAAGTGACACAACGCATTATCCCAGCTAAGGGCTCTCCTTTATCACCGTGCTCTCCTGATGCTGCAGGCCCAAATCTGTAACGGAGGTCCCACAAGCGGTGCCCTGGTTCTGCCCAGCTCCTCCACCTTCCCCAGCCCAGCAAGCTGCAGATTCCCTCAAACACAGCCATCACAAGGACAATTTCCCAGACCCGCACTATGGGGTCCCAGCTCTTCACTTTCTCTGCCTTTTCCTCCTTTCATTCTCAGCTGCTTAAGCAGCCCCATTTATCCCCTGTAATTGAGCCTGCTTTCCAGATTACCCTGACGTTTAACCCCTTCAGCGCCCAGCAGAACTCAAAACCCCTGGCAGGTGGTAATACAGGAGAAGGGCCGTCTATTTTTCTTCCCACTCATTCACTGGAACCTGAATTATCACCACACTGAACTGCGAGAGCTCTAACTTGTTCAGAAGAATTCTGTGAAGATGAATTCTTCGCCGTGCGTCTGCACCTTTGTCATCTGCTCCGTCCTTCCCCCGTTCAAATTTTCATTTGAGAATAGCAGTGAGGTGACTGAACATTGTTTAACTGCAGTATTTTGCAGATAAAAGAATGTCTGAAGTGTTTTCTTCACTCCTGCAGCACACAAATTTATGTAGCTACACAACAATAAAGCAAAGCCTTAAATTTAATCAGCAGAAATACTTCAAGCCATGGCAAGCTGATAAATTATTTAGAAAGGGGCTCGATAAGACCTGAAGGGAAATATGCATCAGCTGTGCAGCCCGGGAGCTCCCAGAAACAAAGACTTTTCATCCTTGTCCCTGTTGAGGCTTTTCCACCTAAACTATCTGCATGTGACAAATACGGGCGTTTACTCAAACTACATCTTGCAGTCACAAGCAGACAAGGGCTGCACTGGTAGCGATGTTAGAGGACTTCTCACACAACATCTATATAGGAACAGTCCTGGAAGGACTGACACGATCCATTTACCAGCAGTTAGCACTATTTGTGCATCCACAGTAAGATATCAATGACACTCCTTAGCTTAAGGACCCACAGTAACAAACCAGTAACACACCTAGTTTGTCCAGAATAGTCTTCTTTCCATCAGTTCTTCTGCCATTCCAAAACACTGAGAAATAGACAAAACTAGCTGCATTAGTATTTATATGAAAGGTCTAGGAAATTCAATAATGTTCCTATTGTTTTATTGCAGATGGCACATCAACTTCTCTTTATTACTGCAGAAAACTCAAGAGCCCTGTAGAGTGCAATAAAACGCTACGTGTTTAGGTTTGCAATGTTTCAAAGGGCTGTGATTTACTCTTATGAAGCAGGCACCTTGCACACAAACATCCAAGCGGGGTAATTGCCTCTTGTTTTGTGCAAACTCTACAGGCAGCGTGAGCTCAGCCCACACAGAGCACCTGCTGCTTCCAGGAGCCTGGCCCTCCTTCCTCACTAACATGGACTGCGGTGCCGAGGAGCAGAGAGAGCTCTGGCATCACCTTTGCATCGAGATGTTTTACTCTTCCTATTTGGTTTCAGATGCTGTTTGTGTTCGCTGCCAAATCTCTGGGCTGGCAGAGAGAGATGGAAAAAAAAAATCCCCAATGCGCCAAAAGGAAAAATGCAACAGGAAATTCTCCTGCTTTAAGCATACACCACATATGCTTCAAGAGTAACCCTGCTTACATAAACACACACCACGCTCCAGAAAAAAAGCAAACCCTCTGAACATCCACGTTTGAAGCCTTCTGTAGCAGATGACCCAAAGATTTGGTAATGTGAGCATTTCACTGCTTAATACAGCAGGTCTCCTTCAGGTAATGAGCTGCTAATGAAAGATAAACCAGTTCTACTTGGGCACTCCTGAATAAGGGGGCAGAGAAGTATCCAACACAGGTAAGAGGTAAAGAGCCCATACTACACTTATTTGTGTTCAGACTGCTCAGAATACATTATTATTCCATGAAGTTTGAGTTAAAAAGCAGAAGAGGGACTCAATGCATCCAATGATGAACCATCGAGCATTTGTTCAAAACCACACAGCCCAACCACCCTTTTTGGTGAAACACATTCCCAGTGGCTAGCAAAGAAAAAAACTATACACTACTGCAAAGCCAAAGCCATCTGTCTCTTATCCACAACAATTGGTCCTTTATGAAGGAATGAAAACGTGGGGAAAGAAAACAAGATCCAACAGTGTCCCCTTAAAAGATCCATACCTCCTTAAAATGAAGATCTTAGAATTAGTGCTGCTCCATAAGGGAAAAGGCAAATCTACAGGCAAGCTCATTCAATGGAGTTATTATTTCTGTGTGGGTTACATGTTATTTGTTTATCATCATAAGTTTATGCCTTGGTAGTCAATAGTTGAGGTACTCTGAAGAGGAATATTCTGATCCAAACTGCCTACAGCATACAGATAAGGACACAAACATTCTGGGGAATATTAATTGCGAACACGATGCTACAGCTTGATTCCTGTGTCCATTGGAAGCATGCTGCAGACGTGACATTTCCTTCTGGAGACCCTTGTGTAGTTTATTTACAGAGACACACAAAGCCATGCACCCAGAAGCAATGCACTTCCCCCAAAAGCAAGATGGAGCTGTTACAAACAGGAAACAAACAGCCAGCACTGCCACCTTTAACTTCTTATATACATTACTATTTCAAAAGCTTAAACCCACATTCTACAAAAGCTTACATACACACTATACTAATTCTATATAGTTTGAATTAAGACATTAACAAAGCTTTGAAGTCATCAAAACCAAAAGCTTCCCTCCACTACTAACTGCACCACATTGACTTTCTCCAATCAAGTTCAGAACAGTGCTGATGAGCTCTGGGACACACACTTCTGTAGCAGCTGAGGGCAAACGCATTTTTATTACAGAGAAAACCACAAACTCAGAACGAAAGATCAGAGAACATCTCAAAAATCAAGAACATAAATGAAGAATTCAGCTGTAGAACGCAGTACTTAAAACAAATATCCCAGACATGATTGAATTAAGCACCAGCCTAAAGAGACACCAGCTAGAGAACAGGATAGTTTGACAGCCTGCAAGAATTTATTCACACGGATGGATGATGGCAACCACTGCTGCCAGACACCGTGCCCCAGAACAGCTATGCAATTGGATTCAATAGAGCTGAGCACCAGCCCTGGAGGAGCACCAGGCCTGCAGCTCACAGGGGAAGCCCCAGGAATACTCACTCTTGGCTGCCAGTTCTCATACTGCTTCTGCAAATTCGCACCAATGGTTTCCAGAGCTTTCTGAGGACCCATTGACAGAGGATCTAGGAAATAAAATGCAAATGAATCTTTTTGACCGCAGCTGAAAATCACTCAGGACAAAATCATTTACACTTCTATACGCATTGAAGCCTTCAGTTATATTTTGTAAAATTCAGACCTGTAACCTGGGAGACCCAAATGATTCCCAAATTCTTCACTCAAATACAAATTAAAAACCACTAGAGCCTGTCAAACGTGGAAGAAGGTCTCACAAAGGTAATCAATAGCACTGTTTCAAAAGAGAAGCGAGGCTTAACACTTGTTGCTGTTAATATTGACAGGAAGTTTCTGTAGTAAATAATGACCAAAATTGAAACAGCTTACATAAAGATCACAAACGGTGCGTAACGTCGAAAGCAGGAAGCAGTGGTAGTAAATGAAGCAGGATTTTGCATTTATCAAGAAGAAAATCATCAAATATTTAATCATTTTAAGAAGCTAATTTCATCACCAGATAATTACTACAATCCATAGCGAGTAAAATATCAGCTTATGTGCTTCATTCAAAAATCATGGCCATATAATTGACAGTTAACAAGTTTCCAAAAATCTAGAAGCTAATACTTAGCAATTTAATACAAATTATTTTAAAAGGAATTAACTGAATCAATGACATTTTTAATATTATCTTTATGAATATTCTATCTCACACCATTAAAAGCAAAACACAACCAGGTATGATGAAAGCAGAATTTCCGACATGCATTAAACCCAGGATTTTATTGGAAATGCAGTATCCTTCTGCAGAAGGATTTGAAGTAATGAATCATCTGCATTTTGCCAGACAGAAAACAAACTCAAGCAGTCAGTTTTCTGCTCAGGCTTCAAGATGCACACTTCTATCAGCTTAGCTGCAGCTGCTGCTCCAGAAGCACCACCAGAACAGAACAAACACTTCAATCCTCTCTGCAGACCTTGCAGTTTCAGCACTCATCTCCACGTATCGCAGCAATCTCCGGCACTCTGAACCGTGACAGTGCCCTTGATATTTAAGGCCAGTTCCAAGCAGACACCATGGAGCTGAACAACAGTGTGGTGGACTTGGGAGGGCCTTCAGAGCAATGAACACTGCCCACACAGCAGCGCAGCAGGCTGAAGGTGCCGAGGCTGAGCTCAGCACTGAGCTCCCTGAGCCTCTGGCAGCAACAGCCCTGCACAACACCAGCCACGGCCGAGCTGTGGAGGAACCACAGCACCCCTGCTGTCCCAAGGCACATCTGGAAGCACAGCAGGAGCTGTGGCTGGCTTCTGGCAGAGATGCTGCTGGCCATTTGTCAGCAGAGCGCGCAGGCTGCAGCTCAGCCTTTACTAACAGCAATGGCCCCAAAATGCTTTCCACGCTGTCTTCTACATCTGGCAGAGACATTATGCTTCCACAACACACACCATTAGCTTCTCTTAAGACTGATACACAGAAAACAGGGATATTTTTGCAGCTTTAAGTTTCTGAAGGAAGCAGCAATGGAAATGAATACTTTCCATTTTATATATATACTTTTTTCAATTTTAGTGTGCACATACACACTAGAAATTTAATTAAAAAACTGCATTCAAAATTCTCTTTGTTGATGATAAGCACTAATAACTTTATTTTAATGACTCTGCAATACTCCTCATTCTCTTTGCTCTCTACCCATGTATAAGTGAGAAACGAGGAGCTGTTCTCTCCACTGACTAGACGTATTTGTTAGTGCATGCTCATGGTTTTTTAATTGCTATAAAGTCATCAGCAGTTTTTGGTTAAAAAAAAAAAAAAAGAAAAAAGAGATGCTGTCGATTCATAAAGCAAGTTAGAAATGAGATGTTCTGAAAGTTTTTCAGTTTCTGGTTTTGTTTTTTCAATAATTTTGTACAATGATAAATTTGCTACCGCAGCCTATTATGCACCTCAAGAAGTAGGATTATGGGGCTGTGTGTGTCACTTGCTAGACTGGATATTTCCCATTCCTATATGGAATTCAAATATCTTCATTTTCTTACCCATGGTATTTCACCTTTAATATTATTTCAGACTTAACCTCATCTTGAAAATCAGTGTTAAAACCAAGGAAACTTCTTGCTTCCTAACAAAGAATTAGGAAGTTACCCAGCGCTGCATCAAAATAAAAAGCCCATGTGTTGGCACAGCTGGAAGACATTCTTGGGAATAGTTCCAGCTCTTCTGAATTTATGCTCCCAATTCAAACAGCCTCAGAGCTGCCACCTCAAAATGCAGCGAAGTCCACACATGTTCAAGACATTTCTCTATTATGTGACACAGGGTGACTTTAAACCTTTGCAGAGCAGAGTACTCTAAAGATGTGACTGCTCAGAAATTTCTTTAGATACTTATTAAGCTACAGAAATTAAAAAAAAGGGGGGTAAGTAGCTAATTAGCAGCTTTTTATTCTTTCTCCATGATATTTCATTTTAAAACAAAGCAGAAAAGATGACCTGTGGCAGTGGTTACTGATGGTCACATACAAATCATCCACCAGACTTCCTTCAGCTCACCCCAGTTTTAAGTTCAGGAAGCACACAACTTTGAGATGACCATACATGTGATACCTCAATGTCTGTGAGCCAAGTTTCCTGGAGTTCAGCAGCTCTCAACCTACCTATCCAGCACTCCAGGCGGGCACACGGGGTGGTCTTCACCACATCAGGAGGGTCCACGCCAACATTTAGGCACAAAACTAAGGCAACACTAACAGTCTTCATCTGGAAAGACAATAAAACATTCACTTAGCATGGAAACGGATCCATTTTGGGGTTGAAATTTTACCACTACTATAAATTCTGAAGTTTCAGCTATGCTTTGTTATCTGCTCTTTAACATGGACTACTTGAAGCAAGGCAAGGCTGATTCCGTTTTTCATTTTTTAAGAGAGCAGTAGAATTTTTTAATAGAACAGTACTCTGCAAGAATAGGACTTGGTTTTTACATTACTATTTTTACACATTATATCTTTAATACAGCATGGAAATGGATGTCATTGGATTTCTTCCACACATCTTAAATAGTCACTGCTCAATGGAAATACATTATTAAAACATGTGAATGTGCCGTTCAGGGTCACTGATCAATATTAGAACATATTATATCCTTTCTAATATTAAAACCAAAACCAATAAAAGGAGAAACACCCAATGGCCAAGAAAGCCATTGGATATTGGATATCTGATGCCATTACACACAATGCCATTGGATATCTGACGCCTACACACAATGATACGGGCAATTCAGACAGACTCTGTCTTAAGTCACTTCCTCTCAAATCCTCATAATCATCCAGATCTGGTGCTCTTTTGGATACTTGTGGCCAAAAAAAGGGGATAAACCACAGTTTGCAACTGTGTTCCTCAGTCAATGAGATTGCTGCACACAGCAGCTAGGGCACCCACTGATAACTGAACTCTGAGCAAAAAGCTGCACTGAACCAATTACTAAGCACCATAGCAAGTTAAAAATATAACTTGAAAAGGATTCTTTTAGTGCTTCGTTCTCTTCTCTAAACTCCTTCATCCCAGTACCTAAAGCCGTGTCCCAGCACCAAAGGAGCACAGGCAAAGTGCTGCACCTGGTGGAGCACAGCCACCTGCAGCCCTGCTTCCCCAGGGTGCTCATTACCATTCAGAACAGCAGGAAAAAAAGCCCAAAATGCACACTCATAGAAAAAGCTGGAACCACACAAATGTATAATTTATAAAGAAAGCAGAAAGTGGAGCAGAACAACACTAGTCACTCCAAGAAGGGGAAAAGACAGGAAGGAAACCCTGCAGCCTGACTGGATCTGGAGCAGGAAGCCAGCGTGAGAAAGAAACCCAACGAAGTGAGAGCAGTGCATAGCAGTGCACACAGTGGCCAAAGAGGGTGAGCTTCACAGGACCCCATCTGCAGTCAGCCCTCCCCACTAGGGCTGCCCAGCCCCCCTCCCTGCCTGCTGCCCTTTCACCTTCATCTCTTTCCTCCTCATTTAATCAATGCACACCAAACTGCTACTTCCAAAAAAATCAGCTATCCCAGCACCTTGGTGTTGACATCTTTCATGTTGTCTGCACACCAAAAAAAAGTGTCCTCAAGAAGAATTCCTGGGCTGGGCCAGTGCTGCAACCCACACAGAACAGCACAGGGCTCCTGCCGCAGCCCAGCTGCACCACAGGTTATTTGCAAGAAAAAGATGCATTCTTTTCAAGGTAACACAGTGATACCGAGCACTAGAAACAGGAAGAACAGCCTCAAAGCTTTAACATTTTCAACAAGTTCTGTATATTATAGCACTGGGCTGACTTCTAAAAGGAACCAAACTGCCTGAGCTCCACAGAGCCCTCCCCAGATACCCCAACTCACACCCAACCATTCTGTGATTCTATTCCCTGCAGCACAGAGGTGTTGCATACCAACCAACACATCTGTAGAGAAAGTCAGCAGCCAGCAGTACGACCAGGGGAAAAACCAACCAACCAACTGGCAGCACGGTCATCAGCTGGCACTGATGGAGCCCTGAGTGCATCACAGGCATCACAAACCCATGTGGCCTCAGAAGGAACACGGTGCTGCAGGGTGTCACAGTGCTGCATTCCCCAGCAGAAGTCCCAAAGCCAGCGGGCAGCACAGAAAGCAGTGGGACCCAGAGCACACAGGCTGCTCCCTCAGGAGGACACATCCTGCCCAGCAATCAGCTTTCTCATTTATTGTTTCCCGTTTAGGGCCTAATACTTGTTTTTCAATATTTTACTAGCCATGTCTGACCTGTGACTTACGCTGAACGAGCCACTATTTACCTCATATTCCCAAGTTCTGTATTTTAAATAAGCATTTCTCCTTGAGAACAGACAGCGAGCCAGTAAAAGTTAAGTCTAACTGATCCCAAAGACAAATGGGGTTATTTCCCCTCTGTCTACCTCCCCACAACAGCCATAAAGTATTATATTTCATGACTGTTTGTTCTGCTAATAAAGAGCACATCTTTAGCAAGAATTACAACTGGCCCATGCTCCTCTCTGACTCTCATTCAATATCCGTGACGTGGAATCGTTGCAAATCAAAAGAAAGACCGAAGCCAATGCTTTGAATAATGCTTTTTGCATTTCTGAACTATTTTAGAACATACTACCAGAAACTCTGCACTGTATTAACAGCTTTGTAACACAGGAACTATCAGGATATTCTCCTCTGTCATTAAACCACGGTGGAAGTTCTCTACATTTCAAGAATAAATCCACCACCAAAAAAAAAAACAAAAAAGATATTTAGTATAAAGGATAGAAACAGCAGAATGCAGAGAAAAACCAAAAGCACAAATCCTTACAGCTGCAGGTTAAGTGCTGCTGTGAGACGGCACCCAAGGTTATCAACATGCTGTCTTCGTGTGCTGAGAGCAGTGTGCACTTCACCCTGATGGGGAACAGCAGCCATTGGCATCCCCTGGCCCAGCAGCCTCAGCCCCTGAAGGTGCTGTCAGAGATGAGCGGCACTGTGCACAACAGAACTGCTCCCAGTGTTAATGTGAGGTGGGCTGAGTCACGGCCATAGCAGGGTAGGGATGAAAGGCAGAATACCTGAGAAATATCAGCACACAGCAACTTCCTAAAGAGCCCAGCTTTCCAGGATGAGTGTGAAAGGATTACCGAATGTGTTCTGGCTGAAGAATCTCAAATTCTTCCTTCTAGAGAAGGGGTAAGAAATGATGCAAAGCAGCCTCAGAGTCATTATGCAAGGGCAACAGACATGCAAGGAAACAGAACAGTCTTAAGCATTCATTTCCCTTTGTTAAGCAGTGAAAGAAAGCATGGAGAGGTCAAAGAAGCACTCAGCTTCCAGGAGGCACAGCTGCACTGGGAGAACCCACGCCCAAACTGCTAGGGCCGAGTCAGGCTGCATTCCCAGAAGGGCCCTGGGTGCTGAGATTACTTGGAAACACGTCTCAAAGCTACAAGGAGCAATCAATCATCTCTCTGTTACCAGTGGCCTTACTGCACTGTTACCTTCAGAAACATTCAAGGTAGACCTGCATGGCAGACCAGCACAGCAGCAGCCAATTAAAACAACGCGTCAGAGGAAAAACAAGGCAACCCTAAAACCTCCCCATAAAATCTTCACGAGCCACGAGGCAAACAAGGACAGAGCCCCAAGGAAGTGAGCTGTCCTTGAATTCCTGCAGCTGCACAAAAGCAGAGCCTTTCGTCAAATCAAGAACCAGCCAAGCATCAGCAAAGGGCTTCTGAAAGTGGGGGTGATTGGCCACCACTGCACCCAAGGAAGAAAATTAAGTGCTGCATACAGGACTCATCCTCTCATTGCACTTTTGTTGAATGGAGCAAAAAGGTAATTTTCTGTCATTTCACATTAATGGTGAAGTCTCTCCCCACTCTAAAATTATCTTTGCTAGCAATACCATTGTCAGCTCCTTTCATTACACTGCATTTCTATCACTTATTACTCATACTGCAAATATAATTACAACGAAGCACTCTCCGGGAGCTATTTAAGGGAACGAGACTCCTGGACATTTCTGTGTATTAAGCCATTAAAATTTTAGATTTGCAATAATTATTTTCTTCTCCACCTAGCTAGAGGAAGTAGAAATAGCAAATGCATGGCTTTGTGGAGCTTTATATACGCACTGCTTATTACAATCTTTAAACATGGACTTAAGCCAAAGCTTACAGGAAAAAAAAAAAAAAAGGGCTTGCTTCCCAACTCCTAACAGACAGGAGAAATTTCCTCATACAGTCCCCTGGTCTTGGAAACCTAGGGAAAAAGGAAATGAAATGATTAAATCCAGGTGAATAAAGAAGTATATTTTTACTCTGTAGTCTCAGAAATTCCACAGGTTAGATTTGCTGACACAGAGCTTTATCTCAAAACCTCCTATCCAAAATTACGGAAGAAAAAAACATCTCAGTGTGATGCTCAGATGTGGCAGAGCACCTTCAGATTTTAATCTAAGCTTGCCAGGAACACAACTGTAACTGATAGGAGTGAATTATTACCTCCACCTTACAGATACATCTTCCTACCAGCAAAATCAATGGGATAGGAGATTGACTGAGCTAAAGATTTCAGTGTTTGTTGCTGTTGTATAACGGCAAGAGCTTTTTCATTCAAAATACGACCAGCCACACTGTTCAGAGCTGTTGAAATCTGCTCTCTCTGCTTAGAGATAAGAACATTTGTAGGCAGTGGTAGATACAGCACAAGCTTCCCAGCTCTGTTCGATCAATACAAGCCATCTTAACCCAGAATGACCTCTGTTCTAGGTAAGAGGAGATGCAGACTTATAAGTGGGATGGCAGTGCTCATTACTTGCAGCAGGGGGTTCGAATGGAGAGAAGCTGAATTGCTTTGTTTTGGTCTTTATTTTGAAAGACATCCATCCACAAGCAGTGCCCCACGCTACCACTCAATTCACACCCCTAAAGCACAGCAACAATCACTTCTGTTACCACTGACCTGAAGTGGTTTTCAGCCACAGCCTGAGGAGGGACACAGCACCGCCACTGCTCCCAGGGCGACCTCACAGCACCCAAGTGAAGTGCTCCAAACCAGCCAACCAGTTCACCCTCGTGCAGGAGAAGAACAGGAACCGCACTGCATTTGGTTTAGATCCTGGGCTAACTTACTGGGTTAGGAGTTCCTAAAGCACAAATGCAGTTGACAGTGTGTGAAAATGCAAAAGAAAACACAAGACAAACGCTTAAGATGCAAGAAGCCACGATGAAGGGGAGGCTGCAGCCCACACACGAGCTCCTAGCTAACAAGACCCTGCTCACTGCTGCTGCAGCCTCAGTGGCCGAATGCCTCCCGGTGCAACCCAAAGCAGCGAGCTCAAGGCAGAATAACAGGCAAGAGCTGTAATAATAATAACAGGCACGAGCTTGCAGTGCAGCCACCCTTCACTGTTTTCCTTTGCCACAAGAAAATCTGCCACGCGGGCAGGTAAATGCTCCTTGTCTGGATTAAGTGCGTTTGTATGCAGCACTGCCTTCATCTGCATTTCCATAGAAACCTAATTGTGTATTTCTCTTCTCATAAAAACAGGATTTAATTCTCACTCAGCAAGTTACCAGGCAGCAGGAACAAAACGCTAAAGTGAAACTATTACAACCAGCTTTCTCGCTCTCCACTTATTTTAGAAATCAATATAAGTACAGCACAGCTTAATTTAAATATCCTGAATTTAGTAGCAACTTGTCAGTAAAACCCAGCGTATTTGAAACCTTTTTATTTTAATCAACTTTCATGACTCGACTGCTTCTGAGGCTGAGAGATTTAATTCAATATACAAAGCATACTTCTAACCCTCTTGTGTTCAAAATATTCTTTAAATAAATAATAGATCAAAGCAGTGTCACTTTGATGGCATCTGTAGTCCAGAGAAGCAGGAGACAGAAGATTAAATGTCTTCAGAGCAGTCCTAAAGGATGAAAAGGGGGTGAGAGAATGTGCCGTTATTTTGTCTAGATTTACTACTGATTACCTTGCTTATTTGATTCTTCCCTCTTATTAGATTCCTGCCTTCTAAAGAACCTTCGAGTTCCTATAAACTCTGGGGTTTTTAGAGAAATGGAAGAAGATGAAAAAAAAAAAAAGTAATTCCATTCTGAAATCTTAGTGGAATCATTTCCTATAGCTGTAGTAAGTTAGGATCACAACATAGCATAGCTCAAGATGACAAATAGGGGCAGAACCAGCTTCTGCCTGTGGTTTCTCCATGATTCATGGGGAAAAAATGCCACAGATTTACCTGCAACTCTACAAATATGGGATTTTTTCGGTTAACCAACCTTCCTACTTTAAATATGGGCTCATTCTGTGCTTTGACAGCTGAACCGATCAAATTCAGAATAACAGAATGCATTCCATACTCTCAAATTACATCAAGAGATAACAGGTACATCCCCTCCAGCCCTCTCCAAGTCTTCCAGTAGCATCTGGGATAGAGAAAACACATTGGAGGTGAATCAGATGCAAAGAAGATATGGAGGACCAGAAAGGGAAGCAACAAACCAGGGGAGAGCGACACAGCAGCAATCAGATGGAGGCAGCTACGTGTTGGTTTTAATTTGATTAGCTGCTGTAGACAGGTGACAGAGGCCTCCAATGCTGACTCAAGGCTACAACACTGACTTTTCCTCACTGTGCTGTAATGCTCTACACAAAGAAAAAAGGAAGAAGCAACTTTCTGAAGTCAGCTGTGACACGGTGAGAGGAATTCTTTATAAAGCCAGAGAACAAGACCCAAGAGTTATGTGAATTCAGGAGGAAGGGAAGAAAGCAGTGTTCTTCAGCAAGAAGTAATTGCACATAATGGCAAACTTGCCCAAACGATACCAAATAAAGCTGTCCTAATACACAGTGACATACAATCAGCACTTCTGATATCAAGAAAAGTTGTTTCAAGCTCACGGCGAAAACAGAAGGAATAATCAGAAACATTCTGACGTGCTTCTACTTCCTTATTTCACAAAGATTAGACTCATTCTCTGTAAGGACGAATTCACTCCGGGTCTGACTTTGCTGAGCTTAGTGAGACACGCACCACTCACATCACAGAGTACTCAGAAAAAGAAACTGCAACCCCACAGGCAGGCAGTGCTGTAACCACTGCTCTGCTCTTCACTGAGATGATCCCCTTTGTCTTTAGCAGCCACATGAAAAGCACTGCAACAAATGCAACTGATTACTTCTACCTCTCATATTCATGCTGTAACCTATTGATTAGCAAGCCAGTGTTATCCCCAATTTAGAAACAGCTCTGCACATCATCAAATAAGTGAACAGGAAGTTCCACAGGAAGGCAGAAGGATCACTAAAATAGACAAGCAAGCTCATCCCACCTCCACATTCTAGTAGAGCAAACCACTTCCACGCCAAAACCCTTCAAAGGAGACATACCTACAAAACTGTGTTATGTGGCTCATCTAAATCAGACTCTAAACAAAAATTAATACAGTCCATTAATGATTTACCAAGTCAGATTTTCAGTACATAAGCACTTAGATGATTCTGGCTCTGCCAGTGCTTCCCCAACACTCCAGAGAACTGTTTAGGTGAATGTTTCTCTAGAAAACTAATGTACAGCATCCTCATTCTAATATCTCTGGAAAAAAAATCACAGGAAGGAGTTTCACCAGAGATCCCAAGTTAAGGTCAGAGAATTACTAAAGGAAGTGGAAACATATTTGGTCACACACACACAAAATCATATACACCCATACACACAAACATATGGACATCACAACCGTGAGACCCTGGGAATCTTCTGACCCAAAGCAGATTCCATGAATTGAAGGACTGCAGCTGATTATCCTTTATGTTTCTGTGGTGTTTGTTTTTAACTTAAGCTAAGTTGGGACACAGACACTGCTCTGGGTTGACATCATAAAGAGGAACTGTCAGAGGCCCTTAGCTTCATTGGTGCCACATGACATAAATTCTAGCAGAAGAGAACTACCGTTCTACAACACAGCAAGCACTTCATCTAATAACTACTTCTGTCTCCAGGTTCACATAAGCTGTTTGCTGTCTCTCGCACACACAGAGAATACCTTAATTTTACATTGCACATAACATGCTGCTGGCAAACTTCAAAACCACAACACTTCCTGCACCTTCACCACGAAACAAGTGTAATGACTGCGTTCACTGCACCTCGTGCTGTGCATTACCTGCTGATCCACAGCGCCCTGTGAGCCCTCAATAATCTTACTGCCTGCACTGAACAACATCAAATTACACTTAAAGAGCTCAAACGAGGGAGATACTCAGTCAGCGTGTTGCTGTGAACCCAGATACACATTTATCATAGCATCCCCTGAGTCAGATGGAACCCAAGGAAGCTCTCTGTGCGTCTCCGGCCTGTCTGCAGCCCCAACACCACGCGCAGGGCTCACAAACGAGTTACCCGGTCAGGGGATTGCCCACAGCCCCACTGGGGGACGGACAGCCCTCCTCCCTCCCTGCCCACCCCCTCCCACCCTCGGCCATTACCCTGTCCTTCATCCTCCAGCTCTGCGCCAAGGACTTGGAGCCCTCGATCTTCTCGCAGTGCCTCTTCTTCATGAAGGCCAGGGGCAGGTTCCAGTCCGTCAGGTCCGACTCATCCTCCTCCCCCAGCCCCAGGAGGGGCGACTGCAGCAGCTCAGACTCCATCGAGACGAGAGCTCCGGGCACGGAGGGAGCGGCAGCCCCCGGCCCAGCTCGCGGCGGGGTCACGGCGGGCGGAGGACGGCGGAGCGGGCTGAGGACGGCCAAGGGCAGAGGGCGGCCCCGCGGAGCGCCGAGCTGCCGGCGGGGCCCGGGCCTCTCCTCGCGCCTTTAGCCCCGCGGGCTCCGCGCTCGCTGCGGCGGGAGCCACGTCCGGCCCATGGCGGCTCCGCTCTCCCTCACGCTCCGGCGAGCCGCGAGCGGATCAGTGAGAGGCGAGACAGGAGCGAGCGGCGGGGAGTGGAGGACAGAAGCGACCCGCGGCGCCGGCAGCGCGACTCTTCTCAGCAGCGCGGCCAGGAGGCGGCCATCTTCCCCGGCCCACAATGCACTGCGCTACGGAGCGCCGCGTGGGACAAACGGCGCCGTGCCGGGTCGACCAAGGTTGCCATGGTGACGGCTGAGGCTCCCCTCCCCCCCGCTGTAGGCCCGAGCCCTACCCTGAAAGCAGTTCGTCGGTGTTCTAAAGCTGTAAACAGTGTCTTGAGGTATCGATCCAAAAAAACACGCATAACCTGATTTATATCAACTTCCATTAACGCTTTCAGCGTGTTTACATTCACAGACACTCGACATGCAAAAGCCCCCATCACAGATCCCCAGGTCTGTCAGAAGGAACAGCAGCAGCCCTGCTCACCTCAGTGAGATCTGGACACTGATGGCGGTGATCAAAATGGGAGCAGCGACTGCAGCAGCCGTACGCAGTGCAGATGGACCTCACGGCCGTGCTGCTGCTAATCCTGGCTGCCGACAGCATTAGGAGCGTGTGCCCATCCTGCCAGAGCGTGCAGGAGTGCAAATACCTCTGAAGGGCACAGCTGTCCCTCTGTTCACATCAGCAAAGCTCGCAAGCAGTGGCTGCTTAAGACCCAAGTCAGGTGTTTTCCCTGATCCCCCGGCCTGTGCTGGGAAAGCTCTGTGTCCCCTGCTCTCTACCCCTTTTTTTCAGGGCCTCTCCCAAAACACTGCCCTGCTCCCAAAGGAACAGCTGTATGCCCTGCACAACAAACATTCCTCCAGGCTCTGTGCAGAGATTCAGGATGGAGCCTTAGCTACCTCTGACACTTAGGTTTCACCACTGGGGCACTGCATAAGAGCTGGGGAGCACCAGAGGTACCCTGCTGGAAAACAGGGACCTGGCAGGCTCCCTGCGAGCCTTCTGTAGCTCCACAGATGGTGAAACACTAGAAATGCCTGCAACCACAAGACAGCCTGCACATGCAGCAGTGGGCTGGAACATTGCTGCCTGCATGCCCATGGCATGTCAGTGCCATACTTCCCATTTCCACTCAGACCTGGGAGCCCCCAGCCCAGCCCACATGTGAGCTCCTGATCCAGGCACCAACACCCCAACCTCCTCCAAGAGGACGCTGTTCTGCTAATAGTGCCCAAATCCGTGTGGAGTGACAATCTCCATGCTAAACACTTTTTTTTTTTTTTTTTTTTTTTTTTTTAAATGAGTGATGAAAAGGGCATAACATTTAGTTTTAGTGACAGGGAATTTGCAAAATTTGCAGAGATCGTAAATATCAAATGAAAAAAATTATATCTGCGCTTTATTAGATCACTGAATAAGCCTCATCAACATCCTTTTCTAAAGGACACATGCTGTGGGTCAGCAGGGAATCAGTCTCCATTTAAGTTCCTAGCTTTGATAGATATTGGGATGAGTTGATTTATTCAAGAACAGCACTGCCAAGCAGTTGGCCCCATGGCATCTGCTCTCAGATAGCACAAATCTTCAGGACGGTGGTCATGGGCTCTCTTTGGTCATTTGCAGCTATATGCTTTAGTCAGAGCTACTCGCCTTATTTCAGTCTTCATGGGGCAAAGACCAAAAGGAGACATAAATTATCTTCCATTTATATCTCCATAAAAGTAGTTGTTAGAAATGAAGCCTTTCCCTGAAGTTCTTTTCATCTCACACCACAGTTCAGTATCAGGATTCTCTCATTGTGGAAAAAAACTCTGCAGCTTTTATTCAGGCAAAATATTATTCAATTTTGATAGACCACAGCAAGCCCCATGCCACTAGAGTACACCATCTAGGCTACATACATGCTTCTGCTGGGCTATGTGTGGGCTTTCCTAATGTTCTGATTTAGTAACTAAACCTTAAAAATAAATATTTCTACAGTATCACAGGCTCTTAAGTCCTCTAATGACAGACTGCTTGCCTTCTCCAGGCAGCACGCTCTTGACAGCTAATTTCCATCTTAAAATTAAAGCAGGTGCTCCATTCCTACCTCAGCAGGCAGAAAGAACAGTTTATCCTCTTTCACCCTCTCTTACATATATGAAAAATGTTTTTTGAATATTCTTCTCCTTTTTTACATCTTCCTCAGACAAAACAATCCCCACCCCCTTAGCATTTCTTTTCTGATCTGATGCCTGAACCCCTCACCCCGTTGTTCCTCTCTCTTTTAGGCACTCACGTATTACCTTGCTGGGTTTGCAGTCTACTAAAACACACGCTCATGCTTACAGGCAGAACCCCACTTTCAAGGCATCATTCTAGGCTCTCATCACATCTCAAACCACTGTGTTTCAGCCCTGCTTTTATCTTTTACAAAGCTGAACCCAGGTTTAACAAATCTGTTCTTGATTAGGGCAGCACTGTAAAGCTCTTGTTCTTAGGCAATCTAGGGAATAGAAACTCTATGTCAAGCCAGCCACGTTCACTGATGTCCTGAAGACCAAAATGCAGAAGGATTATCTTCTAAAAACACACTTTGAGAAATTTTTCCACCTGCCATTCTTTTTAATGAAAAAGTCTCCTATCTCGGTCCCTGTCGGCGCCCATTGTTCAGCCCCATTCAGCCAGCTGCTTCTAATTCCACTCTTTCGTGGGAAGGAAGAAAAGTACGGAAAGAAGAAAGTGATTCATAAACATCGAGAGATTTCATCTTGCATTTTCATCAGTCGCGTTCGCAGGTCACCAAATGAGTCGACATCAGGTTCAAAGTCCACGTGCTCAGCCAGAGGGCTGCTCTTTTGAAGGCTTCCATAGCAAATGCACGTCTGTGTGCCCATGCATGCGAGCACACCTTCCCCATGCGCGGGCTCACAGCCAGACGCTGCTTGTACAGCTTTGCCAGGGCTGCCTTCTGCATTTAGGGCTAACAACAAGGTTTGTTTTAACACTTCAGTTGGGGAAGCTTTATATCCTAAAGACGGTAGGTAAAATATTTATTAGGAAGAATATCTATTTTTAACTAAGCCTGATATCGTTTCTATTATTTATGCATGCACACAGACTTCCCCACTCATCTCCCTGCAGCAAATGTGAGTCGGAGACTGGAGGGTGGGAGCGGGAAGTGGAGCCCAGGGAGGATGGCACCAGGAGGAGGTGGGAAGGGGGTGCTTCTGTGCCAAGTCCAATACACAGCAAGAAGTGATTCATGAGATTGACTCTCCATCTTATAAAAGAATCCCAGTGACGTCCCTCTGAGTGGAAGAGAACTGGAAGATGTGTTCCCAGCACAGCATCCTCTTCCTCACTTGCTTCTCCATAGGTACACATGCACACAGGTAGGGAAACACACGCTGTGCAGGTGCTAAGCCTGCCAGGTGCTCTGTGTAGAGTTGTGTCCGTCAGGAGGACCCGATCAGGAGCATGATGGATTCCTCTTCCTCTTCCTCTTCCTCTTCCTCTTCCCTCCCTTGGCCTCCTCTCCTCCCCTCCCTTCCCTTCCCTTCCCTTCCCTTCCCTTCCCTTCCCTTCCCTTCCCTTCCCTTCCCTTCCCTTCCCTTCCCTTCCCTTCCCTTCCCTTCCCTTCCCTTCCCT